GAGGCCGCTGCCTGCCCGCTGCGAGCGCGGGGAGAGCCGGGCTGGGGGCCCGGGAAAAAGGCGCCGTGCTGCGTGCGCGCAGGCAGGGTCTGGAGCTGTGGTTAGGCACGTAGCTTCCTTCTCCTTCCTTCTCCTGCGGTTCCCTCCAAAAGCAGAGAGGCTGCCCTCTCAGAGGCGCCACGGTGTTGCATTTTATCTTTTATTGCCAGGATGTGCGGTGGCTCCGTGCCAGCCCTCTCCTCAGCTGCCCGGGCTGCTTGCTTTACCCTTGTCGGAAGGGCTTCACTCGCGTGGAGGGGGCATTTTGTCTGTGGCGTAGCACAGGACGGGCGCAGAGGCGGGAAGGACTGTGGAGCGCTGCGACAGGTGCAGGACCGCGCTCCGGGTTTCCTCTTGCTCTCTCCAGTCCGGTGTGCGTTCCTCGAGTGACGGGGAAGACATCTTAGGGCAGAAGGGTTTCAGGGGAACAGAAGTGAAAAAGGATGTCGTCTCGCTTACGTTCCTGGATTTGGAATTCGCTTCACAGGAAACTAAAGGGAGTGTAGAAGAAGTTGGGAGAACCGGCCCTTATACCAAAATGGATTCTGTTGACTTTTTCGGGGACTTCTGTTTGTGTTTTTTCCTTTTTCCATTTTTATCATCTAGCACAAGGTTTGGGACAAACAAAATAGCAGCAAAATTCAAATACCTTTGTTTTCTAAATGGAAGAATTAGTGAGTTGTTCTTCCATCATATCACCTTCAGAAGTGGAAAAACAAGAGTACGTGCAGCATTGTAGCTTGGCCATTGACATTGCACATTGTTTGTGGTACGTACACGGATCTTAATATTAGATGAATGGTCTTTCGGAATTGAGTAGAAGGGGAAAATCTGCCCGGCCTATGTCTCTGTCTGATGTGTCGGTGATTTTTGGTTTTGTTTTTTCTTTGTTCTGCTCTAAAAAAGGTTGCTCTGAAGCAGGCATGTCAATACAGGAGGCTAGGGTTGGCATGCAGAGGCAGGTCATTAGAATGAGCGCTATCTGCATGTAGTAATGGTTAATGGCTCTATGTGGTTTGGTTTGGAAGCAAAAACAATGATTGTGCCTCTGGGAAGAAAAGGATTGGATATTAATCTGTTCTTAATGAAAAAAGGAAGCAGGATATTGGAAGCTGAAGGTTATTTTATTCAATGTCTATTTACTTGTATGTTCATCTTAAAGGATCCTGCTATCCTACCTGTTTACAGAGCAGTTCAGAAAGCTGTGGGATCCCCAGTTGTGGTTGAAGCCTCTGGTCATGGTGCTAGAATGACAAAAGTAATACTTAGGGAGGTAACAGGCAGTTGCTCGGTCTGTTGTCATTATTTCTGGGAAGATGTTTAAATACATGTGTTTGCCTCAGTACTGTTGCTAGGTATGCGGTAGGCGAATGATGGCTGCAGAGACAGGAAATGTGTGTAAAAGACAACTGAGGCTTCACAAGGCTGAAACAATGAGTGACTAGTGAATCGCAGTGTCAGAAATCAGTTCAACAGACAAATCTTTGCCCTGAAGAACGGTCACTAACTATGACCCCATATAAGCTTGTTCCTTTTAAGCATTCCATGGCACATCCAATATATGCATTTCAAGCTACAAAAAAATTCATTCCATCAAGCCTGTATCTTTTGTCTACCAAACATTTACTTTGTTCCTGTAAAACACGTGGGAGTCTGAGATATGACATCTCCACTGTTTTTCCCTTTCTAGAAAAGAGCATGACCGGCTGTCTCAGCGGTTGCAATGTTGTAGTCATTTGCTGCTTTTTCCTCTAATTACCTTTGGCTGGAAAAAGAAACCATGTAGCTGAGTTCAGATACTTCTCATATTAGTTCACCAATTCTATATAAAGTCAATTTCTTCACTGAAGAGAGCATCAAGTAGTGGTCTCCCATTCTGTTGTATATACAGGGTAATATGACTACTCACTAATGTTGGCACAACATTAGCACAATAAATTTAGCTGTTTGTGCTTCCTGGCAAACCTAAATAATGTTTCAAAACACTGTTAGTTAACATTTTTTAAAACAATGTGGTGGCAGGGATGAAGGAATAGTTGACCAAGAGCCATACGTCATCATAGATGTGAATGCACATCTGATTGGTTTGACACTGAAAACTTTAATTGATTTTGTTTTTATCTTATATGTATTCCAAAGACAGGTGATGTAATCATGTAAAATGCAAGAGTGCATGTGTCCATAGAAAAAACGTGTATATATAATTATCGGTGTGAATTTAGTTCAATGGTGTAACTGATGAAAATCCACTTCCTCCAGACTTCTCTTCCAGAACTCCTCTTCCTCCTTCTCTTACATTAACTTCCATACTTTGCCAAGCAAAGAAAAGTATCTTTATTGTGGTTAATCTGGGGCAACAGCCCCGCTGACTGGAAGAACAGCCAAGTTGGCCAGCTGGTTGATGCCAGACAGACTGGGTAGCAGCTGAGATTTAGCTGCCTTTTCCTCAGAGGGTCTGCTTTTTTGGAACTCTTCATCTGTGTTAGTTCTTCAAATTTGTAAGAGCTTAATTATCTTTGAGATTTCTAGGCCACAGTCAGCCTTTGAACCAGCAGGTTCATTTAACCAAATTTATGAGCGGGGGCCAGATGGGTATGTTTGCATAAGGCTTGTTTCCTTAGGAGAACAAACTGGAAAACCCAATAACCTTGAATGCCCTTGAATTTGCAGAGGTTTTATTTCACTTGTGGTCCTTCCCAAGGGCTGAAATGACACATTTCAGTTAATATATTTTCTCTTATTTTGAGAATGTTTAAAGCTGATGTTTCTGAGTGGTGTTTGAACTAACTGAAACAATCACATTCCAGAGCAAGCATGTAATTTTTCAGTTATGTTGTTACTAGGCTTTGAGTTGGTTTATTTTCCCCAAATTAAGAATTCCTTAAAGGAAGTCTTGGGCGGGGTGTGAGTGGACAGATATTATACAGTGAACTTAAGACTATGTACTTTAGCATGTGCAAACAGTCAAGAGTATTTTAACAGTAATGATACCATTTTTTCTTCTGAAGAACAAATGTATTGATACTTTCCAAATGCGTGCCCTTTACGTGCAGTAGCTAACATTTCTAGGTAAGATAAAATATCCATCTGAGAAATAAATACCAGGCATAAACTTAAACTTTGTCTCCTACTTTGCAGATTAATTTCATGTTGGACTCTTTAATTATTGTCAATAGAAGAACTTTGTGAGTGGTCAGTCAACTGCAAAGGTAGCAATTGTTAAGGAGAACTAAGACTTTTATCCGTTTATAATATAGTAGTGGTGGGAACAAGATAGACATCTTTTTATCTTGTATTCAAGACTTACTAATCAAGTCAGCACTCATCCCAGGTAATGAGCCCCTGAGTTTCATATCTGAAATAAGGGGATAGAAGCACAGAGATCATGTATGCTTCTTGCAAAAGCAAGCTGATTTAAGCCTTTCTCTTGAAGAGGACTGCATGTGACAGCAACACAAACATGAATCCATTTATATGTATTAATTTCATGATGCATTGAGAGACTAGTTTTGAGAAAGTCTTCCTGTTGTATACTCTTACAAAATGTCTCTATTAAAGCAACATTATAAAAGAAAGCATCTGATTGTAAATGAACTGTATGCTTCCAGTATATATCCCTGTCTTTAAAGTTAAACATATTGGAGGAGAAAGTAACACAAAATGGACTCTCTCATAGGGCAGTTGGTGCAAATGTCCCAGCCAAATGCCACATCAAATAATTTCATTTTTTCTTCCTTTAATTCATATTGTAGAACCAATAAGATACGATAATGTTCTTTGTCCTCCCTAACATACTGAAGATACGTTGCATTTCTGAGCTGGTTGCATTTCTGTGGTGGTAAAATGATTCCAGGGTATCTCTGCCCTTCTTCCCTGGGTGAACCAAGTATAAAACATGAACTCTGCAGAAAAGCTGCAGTGGAAGAATTTCCATGTCAGCCAGGGTGCAATTCTCTCTAGTAGAATTTGTTTTGCTTTCTAACCTTTATTAAAATGAAATTTAAAATTGGCTACACTGCTGTTCTTTGGCTTTACAGAATTTATGAGCAATTTAACCTGTCCTGTGTTCAGAAGTACTTTAAAGCAACTGGCTCATCTTTGCACAGTTATGCATCCCTTTCTGCACAGTGTCCCAGTGATTCATCAGATGTGATAGGCAGATAGGTCTAACTCCAGCACACGATTTTAGTTTTTCTTGCTTTGACTGCTTTTTTTGTCACATCTTTGTTCTAGCAACTTTTCCAAAAGACTCAAAGGTATATTAAAGTTATCTTGGCAGCTGTTAGCTAGCCTGTAAAATGTGCTGCAGTTTTAATGAGATCATATACATCTTAATATATCTATATAATTATGTATATTATGTAATATATATATATTTGCTAACTATTCACTCATTTGCCTTCTACCTCCTACAGAATTTCCACTTACACATATGGTGAGCACATAACTGTGGTGAAACGATCTCACCACCTGTTGTTTTAAAATAGCACAGATGCTTATTAATGGTCCTTCCATGACACTATTTATAGTATGTGTTAAACCTCACTTAAAATACTGTGGATCATATTGGTAAAGGATATTATTACTTCAGCACCAGTCTTAAATTGGTTCCTGTTCAGCATCTCTACTTGTTGATTGTTCGTAGGTAGGAGAGAGGCAAACTTCACAGAAGAGTCAAAGCTATTATGCTTAACGAGAAACCTGTCAGTGAGTCCTGTACAAGGTGTTCTGTGAAGATGACCACTGCTATTTGGATAGCTCATCAACCCAAATAACTGCAAAAAGTACGAGCGCACCAATTCTCTATGCTCAGTCTTGAGCTCAGTTTATGTGAACTCCTTCAGGCCAAGGCTCAAAAGCAGAGTTTTCACATTGCAAAGCAAGGAAAAGTAAATAATAGCAGAACTTAAGCCTTGATCAAGAGTGTCTCCTAATTTTTTTTTTTTTTTTCCCATGGAAAAGTCTGTTCTAAACTGACTAAACTAAATTTATGTAAACAAATGTTTCGTCAATTCTCTGTTTGCTTTGTCCAATCTAATGAGTGCCTTGGATTCTCAACTTTGCTTTCAAAGAATTTCTAGAATTCTGCCTGATATTTCTGGTCTGTAACTCTCTAGATTTGTCTTTGAATTTTTATTTTTTTTTGTCTAGCCTGGTCAAAGTAGAAATTAAAAATCCATTTCTACTTTAAAATCATCTATCCACAAGTGGACCAAGAAAAATTCTTGTTGTTAAGTAGCCGTTCACTATCATTCTCACTTCACTGAGATGTAAATTTAAAAGGGCGATCAGGATAAACCAACTCTGCTATTTTCAAACTTCCCAAGGTGCTTGCTTTGAGGCACAGAAGGTTCTTGGTATCTGCATGTTGCTAGTGAATTCTGAGAAAACACTATTGTACACTGCAAAGAATATATTACAAAAAAAGCAATGAAAGATGTGTCTTATTTAAGTTTAGCAAAAGGTCTTAGGAATTATTAGGGTGAGGGGGGGGGTTTGTTTTTTTTTTTTTTAAGTGACTTTTTAAAATGAAATACATATGGAGACTTTTTTTTTTTCCTGTGCTGCATGACATTTGGCATTGGTTGGTTGGGTTTTGTGTAGCTAGTAAATTAAAAAATAGTTGTTCACACTAGAATGGTGACTGTCAGATTCCTGTTCAAACTGTATAGGATGGACAAAAACCTCTTCTTATTCAGAAAAGCTGACCTAGCCTGTAAGAATATAAATCTGCTATTGAAATAAGACCACTGGCAAAATTCCAGTAAA